TGACCCCGAATGAAAGAGGCACGGCAGTGCAGCATCCTGGACGCTCTTTGGATTTCCACTGCCACAGCCTTACGGAACGAAGTACCTAATCTGTACAAGAAAACATGTCGAAAGATCTTTTTCCACGAGTAATTTCGCCGGTTGTCGGTAAAATAACACCCAAAACTCCTGTGGGTGCCCGAATGCATCGCGGAACCTAAAGCTCGACATTCCGTTCCCATGCGATTTGCATGGATATCCTAGACCACTCCACTCTCCATCGTGCCGACAGCAGCCAACGGTGCGACCAGTAGTGCGATGCACCAACACACACCCTAGTCCATTATTGGCAAGGCAGTTCAGCCACATGGAGAGAGTAAAGGGGATCAAAGGGGTTCGCCCGGAAAGCAGCTCATCGTGGCATGAGTGGATTCTGCTAGCGGGCTCCAGAAACCAGATCGGCGGACTCGCAGACCATGTGCATCCGTGGCCCCGTCACTATCATGCCTTTGACACAGCCAATCGTTCGCATCGCATCGATTTCGTCGTATTTACGGAGTACAATACCTAGCTACTGGCACTTACAGTTTTCGTCTTCATCATCGCCCACTGCTGTAGCTCGGCGAAAGCGATGTTTTGCGGGTGGCCCCGTTGCATGCCGTGTGGCTGTGTACTGTCCATGTCCGTCCTGCCAGACGGAGAGGCTGTATGTCCTACGTTGACGGAACAGGGAGGCCGGAGGTCGCCGAGATAAACAGCAACCAAAGCCCAGGGGCTCCTGGCGGCGGGTATTGTGCCGGCTATAATAAACAAGCTCTTGCTTTCCTGCCAACGCATATTGGCTTATACATGGTAATATTTAACCCTATCAAGCCTTGTCAAAAACAACAGCCTCTGTCGGCATTATTTTGCCGTCACTACCTACCTACCTAGGTACTCCGTATGTATGCATGCGTATTGAGATGCCGAGTCCTGGTGGCGGACGCCCGTTAAAACTCTGGCAACCAGAGGGGGCAAATTACTACAGTCTCTCGTCATAGTGGCTTGTATTACATCTAACGCTACGGAGTATATCAGTACGAGAACATGTAATTCTGTCGTCCATACATGACTTGGGCGACAATGACATCATTGGCCAATATTCCTATTGACGTTCGACCAAGTTGGGTCAATGTACAGGCACGTCATCAACAGCGGGCCATATTGCACTGAAGTATATGTGCAGAGGCGAAAGTCTGAGCGAGAATCTTACGAATACCAACTAACGGGTTTAACATGTGTATCATGCGGCGCTCATGCGTGAGCTCTCAAGGGAGGCCCCACCCTTTACAAAAGCTTCAATCCTTGCTGCTGTACGAGGCCATTCGACGACTGTTTGTGAGGTGATGAACTCGAGGGGGCGTCGCTCTCCTTGCATGATTTGGTGTCGGATGTTGGCTGACACTATGTAGTTTAGACGTTGTCACAATCTGTGGTTCAGAACAAGGCGCTGACTTAATAGGTCAAGGTGAGCATGGCAAACATGAGTACGAACATGAAATAGACAAGAGGGATAATCTCGCATCTATTTGCCAAGAGAAGATGATTTGTCCATGGCGCCGGCAGACACGTGTACATGTATCTTGGCGCAACTCTTACGCAGCCTTTGCGCATGTACGAGTCCGGAGCAGCGTACGGAGTAGCTGAGAGGCAAAATGCTGGCCGTCGGAATGTTTTTAGTTCAAACTTACTTGCCTAGGTAACTCCGTATGTTCTAGGCACGTTTGGCTCTCTCGGCAGGCGGCGAATCAAGCGGCACAGCGCCACACCTTGGGATCGACATAAACGGCAATCGTGTAGAAACAGCCCAGTCGAAGACATTCCAGAGCGCCAATCACTGCACCACAACTCTCCGAATTGCCACTCTGCCTGGCTGGACCAGCAACCAGTACGTTGAGGCTTTCTATTTGTCCCTTTTCTTTTATTCATTTCAGTGGTCAATTTGCTTGCTAACCCCTCAAACCCCTCTGCATATCCCCTTGTCTAGACCACGGTCTGTGGGGCTTTTTAGTGTGGCTAGTGACGTGGCTTGCTCGCTCCCGCCGACGGCTACCGTTTCCCGCTTCTCCCCTCTCCACCACGGAGGTCTTAGCCAAAGGGGGGAGATATTTCCTCCGTACTCTCTACTCCCCTGCAGCCCGTAGACAATATAGGGAGCGAAGTCAATTACAGACTAACAATCAGGTGGTTTGCGGTGTTAATTTAGAAGGAGGAGGAGGTAGGGGAAAAAAGGGGGGGTTTGTTGTTTTCACGAGACATTAACCCGACTAATTATGCGATGCCAACGAAGAACTGGTTTGCCACCTTGTTTGATGTACATGCAAGTCAGTGAGGTCAGGTCAACTTGGATTGGGTCAAGAATGCGAATGCTTCGCGGTCTCAATATCGCCAATGAAGTCATAGCGAAGCGGCTGACCATGCAGTCAATCATTCTACTCGGATCAACACACACACTCACACACACGCAGAGAAAGAGTTTTGTTGTACGGCAGAGCAAAAAATACGTCATATCACTGCACGCTCACCACGGGCCTCTGGGAGGCCTCTGGGTCTCTCCAACCAGATGAGACCAATCCAAACTCCGTGTTTCTCGCGATACGGGAGGAGAAAACACCACATAGCCGTTGGGAGGCTCCAAGGTTTTCGGGTCCCTTGTAGCGGAGTAAGGGTCCTTTCCTTTCAGCTATGGCCTCGAACCATGCGCTTGGCTCGTCTGGCTCTAGGGTCAAGCTCAAACTTGTGATGGGTAGGGTCTGTTCCAAAAGACCCGTGGGTACTTGAATTCCAAGCATCCATGGGTATACTTGGGGCGCACGCACGAGCCGTTAGTACCCATCATGAGTGCTAACTAGGTACCCATTTGTGTTCCAAGTTCAAGGTTCGGAGCTTCAACGGCCTGCGTTAGAGCCCGTCACGCAGCCCGGGAACAAGGGGAATAAGGGGCAAAAGCGCTTTCACGGCTACGCACCAGCGTTCTTCTCCGACCTTTGCGATGGTTGGAAGTATGGCACGGTACACAGGCCGCCACACATCCGCGCAGACCTTGAATTGGAGGGGAGTTGTAGGTTTGACTAGTGACATGGGGAAAATGGACTTGGTACAGGGTAAGCTGTTTTGGAGGGAAGCGTGGCGGCGCGACGGCACACGTTACTTTGTCAACTCTTTTTGCGCAACCCATCTTTTGATGTTGTAAGTGGCATGGGTGAGGCTTGCGAGTGGATCAAGGTGAATGAGCTTGAATTTAGAAGGGTCATGTATTTTGCACGACAAAATACTCTTGTAGGACGGGTATGTCTAGGAAGCAAGCTTGCAGGAGTCTGCTACACAGGCGGGAGAAAAAAAAAAGAAGGCAGATTCTATGCCACATCATGGTATATCAACTCGCGACTTGTCGTTACCACGGCCGCAAACAAGTTACACATGATTCGAAACACATGTCTTGACCTGCAGTCGCCTCTTATACCCTTCGGTATATATGTGTACAAATAGCGCCAATTGTATCTGATATTGGTCCAGAGAGCGCGTACTAAAGATGGCAAAGCAACAGGGTAGGACGGAGTCCCAACGCCAACCCCATGTACGGAAGCAAAAAAGTGTTGGACTTGCCACGAGGCCTAGTATGTCACTAGCAGGATATGGAAACACATCAAGCGGCTCGCACGATGGAGGACACATGTAGGCTCTAGGACCGAAGCCCGGCTGTGTGGTCCGAAAAGCAGCAATACCCACGGATAAGTGGCACATGGGGGATACCGATACAGCAGAGTATATAGGATGGAAAGCCGGAATGACCACGGCCTTTGAGAAGAGGACGCTGTGAAGCTGGTTTTGCCGGCGGTATAGTGTGTCGCGATAATGCCGTGATATATCTCAATAACAGCGTCATGTATCTCAACGACGTGACGGCGTATCTCAACAGTACAATTCATCTCGACCAAGGCAAAGGGCAAAAAAAGAAGATGAATGCTGCGCAGACAATGGATCAATGAGGGCAACACACATCCGGTCTGGTAGCTCACCACGGCCGTCCACGGAACAACTGGACTGGCAAGACGAGGAACTCGACAGGATGAAAGATGAAAAAGGGTAGCTAGATTTCACGATTTTTGTTACGCCCTTCCACGCGATTCGTCACATGGCGAGATGGGCGACCCGAGCAACGTATAGATTTGGTGGACGAGCCGACGTCTCTTTGGGGGAAAAGGTTGGTGCAAAATTCCGCGGACTGCTGGACACGGGGAACCCCACTTGGGCGACTTGGGGCCATACGGGTGCTCCAACCGCTCCAGGATGCTCCAGATGCTCGGGCGAGTCAGAATGGCGGACTTGGTTCCGTCCCACCTAGGAAATTCCAAGTCTCCGCTCTATGTCCGACGCGATCCGTGACTCAATTGTCTGCCTGGCTGGCCCTTTGGCAACAAATGTAGCAAGCATTCCGGTAATTTGGCCTTGGGTTTTTTTATTTTTATTTTTCCGTACTTCTCGTCTGGCCACTCGGACTACGTGACTCGTACGATACAAGTTTCCTCATCCCATTACATTCATACACGTATAGTTGGTCCCCATTTCCATCCCTGTTTCTACTCCTATTCCCATTCATGCTCCTGTTGCTCCTGCTCCTCTTCCCTATTTTTAGTTCCGATTCCGATTCCTATCAACCAGCCCTGTCTGTCCGTGCTCTTTCCAAACCGCAGTCCGTTTTCTGGCCCGGCCCTGGTTCGTCTCTCAACATCTCCTCGGGTGCGCGTAGTTTTTTTTTTTTTTTTCCCCAACCTCCATCTTTCTCAACATCCGTGTCCCGTGTGCTTTTGTGTGTCTTGCGCTTGTGCCCAATGTCCCACCGGCTCCCATTCCACGGTTGTGGAAAACATAGAGATACATCCGGCTCCGCCATCAACCAACTCTGCGTCTTCCTGGACACCTAGAAGACCCGAGTCTTGACAGCCCGGCAAATGGCTCCAGATGCCGAAAATGCGGGGGCAATGCCGTCCGCGGATGACGGAAACCAGCTCGATACCATCCCGTCGTCCACCTCTCGGTCTGGGTCTGACGCCGAGTCGCCCCGGCTCGAGCCCATCAAACCCTCGTACACCAACCGCAGCCGGCCATCGAATGCTTCTCAACGGCTGGATGCCACTGACGCGTATGGGAACCTCGAACACTGCTTCACGCCCGATGTCGAGACGGAGGCGGAGCGGATGGCCCGCGAGCCCATCACCTGCACCAGGACCGGCACCAGCATCGGCAGCACGGCATCCCGTCCGCCAGAGTACGAAGTGTACTTTGAGGAAAACGACCCCGAGAACCCCAGGAACTGGCCCCTGTGGTACAGATGCTGGTGCATCTTTTGTGTGTCGTTTGCTACCTGGGTTGCCACCATGTACAGCACCAGCTATACCTCGTCGACGCCGGGTTTGATCCAAGAGTTTGGCTCAACAACCACCATTGTCACTCTTGGCATGACCACGTACCTCCTCGGCCTCGCTGCCGGCAGCCTGGTTGTTGCTCCCTTGAGTGAGCTGTACGGCCGCCAAATCATCTACATTGTGTGTCTTTGCCTGTGGGCCGTCCTAATTGTCCCTTGCGGTCTTGCGAACTCCTTGACCACCATCATCGTTGTGCGTTTTATCGGGTACGTTTCTTCTTTCTTCTTCCCCGGCGTGTTATTCATTTGGCTCCGAAGCTCTAGAATGCCCCCCCGCCGGCTGACCATTGGCATTAACAACACCTGGGTGCAGGGCATTCTTTGGCGCCGTCATGATTTCCAACGCGCCGGGCAGTGTTGTCGACGTCTCAAACCCAGACTATCTCGCCAGGTCCATGTCTCTCTTCGGAGTGGCGCCGCTCAACGGCCCAGTGACGGGGCCCATCATCGGCGGCTTCGTGTTTCAATACCTCGGATGGCGCTGGGCCAACTGGATTGTGCTCATCATGGCCGGCCTGGCCATTGCCCTCATGTGCACCGTCAAGGAGACGTATGCGCCAAAGGTTCTACAGCGCAAGGCCGCCAGAATGCGCAGGCAAATGGACGACCCCCGGTACTGGTGCCAGTACGACCAAAGGGTGTCGACTCTGCATCTGCTCAAGGTAAACCTGAGCCGGCCATTCATCCTGTTTGCGACTGAGCCCATTCTGTGGTTCATGAATTTCTGGTACGCAAGATTTATATCGCCCCGGTCCCCCCACGTCTTTGTCTGTGCGCGTCTCTAAACTGGCTGGCCTAGGATATCCATCATTTACGGAATTTTATACCTCTGCTTCGTTGCCTATCCCGTCGTCTTCTCGCAACACAGGGGATGGGGTCCTGGCATTTCCGGCCTGGCATTCTGCGGAATCGGAATCGGCACTCTGACCGCCATCGCTGCCGAGCCCTTGTTTCGACACATCATCAACTTGCAGGCGCGAGACCCAGAGACGGGCAAGCCGTACCCCGAGGCGCAGGCTTCCATCATGGCCATTGGCGCTGTTTCCACGGCCGTCGGCCAGCTTGGCTTTTCGTGGACTTGCCTGCCCGGGTCCATTCACTGGGCCGCCCCCATTGCCTTTGGCATACCCTTTGGATGCGGCAACACCATCAGCTTCATCTACGGATCCAACTACCTCGCCGGCGCCTACGGCATCTACGCCGCAAGCGCTCTGGCCGGCAACGCCGTCATCAGGAGTGTCATTGGCGGCACGCTGCCCCTTGCTGGGCCGCAAATGTACCGCGCGCTCGGGGCGCGGTGGGCGGGCACCCTGCTCGGTCTGCTCGAGGTCGCCATCATCCCTATTCCCTTTGTGTTCTGGAGATATGGCGGCAAAATCCGCGCAAAGAGCAGAGTCATCCGCCAGCTGCGAGAGGACCAGGCGAAGCTGGACGAGAAGAGGGCCAGGGGCGTGGCCAGGATGGAGAGAAGGGCGGCCAGGCTGCTGGCTGAGAGAGATGCCGCCTCGAAAAATGTCGCCAGAGTCGACGAGACCGATACAGGTTAGGGCGACTGGTGAGGGCTCGCAATAGAATATTTTCGCCTAGGGCGGTTTCGCATAGCGTTGCTTGGAGTTGATTTTTATTGTCCTTTTTTTCTGCTTCTGAAGCCCTGCATCATGGCCACCGATATCTGTCACGTAACATGCAATTTAGTTATAGTAGATGAATAGAAATGAGCATATTACAGCATTGCCTACCTTCCTTCCTATGGGTTGACCGGCAAAAGGAGCGTTGCCCCGACCAGCAGCCCAACTGTGCTGCATATCCTTTTCTGCAGCGAATATCCCATGCTGACAATCGATCAGCCTGGGGAGGGATATTGAAATAGGGACAAAATGAGATACTGCCTCACAGCAATTAGAAGCAAGCAGCTTGAAAAATATATACAGCGGTCAATTTCCAATTCTTCTAGCGATCAATTGCTAAAATTTAAAGAGTGATAAAAAAAAAAGGGAGGGGAGGAGGACATAGCAATTGCCACAAGTTGCAAAAAAGTGTCAATCGTTCTTTATAGGAATAGCCCGATGCGGGGGTCGAACCCGCAACCTTGAGATTTCGTGTACTCTTAAGAGTCTCACGCTCTACCGATTGAGCTAACCGGGCATCGAATCGATGCGAAATATTGGGAAGGTTGGGCGCTATTACACCTTATGAATCTGAGTGCCTTCTGGACAACTTGAACCTCATTCCTTGGACCACACATGGTCAGCATTTCAAAATCGACCATGCCGGATTCAACACGAATTCGAACACGTTTCCCCCATCTTTTGCGAACCAAACATGCGCTTTCCAAGGCTCAATTGTCACGTTGAACTTTGGCGCTGATGCTGCGACACATCACTTGGTCGAGATGTGCGGGGCGGGCGAAGCGCCTTGACATCTGGATGAACTGATCTCGTCCACCAGGCCATTGACTCCATCCCGACATCCTTGCACTCACAGCGGCTGTTGACACAATTCTTAAAGGAGTCCTCAAGAAGCTAGGCTACGCTAAGGTAGTGGTGGCATCACGATAGGCAGTTTCTCAACCAAAATCTCTACATCATCAGGAGACACAAATTACAATGAAGTAGACGATTATCGTTCTATTCAGACCTTGTCGACTCGCTGGTTTATCACGATGCAATTCTCCGTCATCAAACACCAGCCGCTTCTTTCAACTTTTTCCTTCCTCCAAATGCCGCTCTCAACATTTGCCCGCCCCCAATCTCAATCCCGTGAGATCAAGTTTTGCTCATCATACTATACCAGCCCCGTGCAGGCTGGGAATGCACCACTGCGACGCCCCATGTTCTCGATGCGATGCAATTGACGGTTTTCCAAAACACAAAAAGACAGCTTCCTTCTTGTCATACATACATCCAGAGTCCGTCAATCATGTTGGCGTCTGTTCAGTTTGCTTTGCTTGCCGACACAGCCTCAATATCCACACATAGCGTAGGGATGAAATCTCCCCTGCATGGAAACGCTCCATCCGGGGTCGCATCATGATAAAAAAGTGTCCATTTCATATACACACGGATATCTTGTCACAAGATTAAGCCTCCTTTTCTAAGCCCTCGAGCTCTCTCAACACAGCCGACTTGGTGTTGATCTTCTTAACCTGTGTATCTTCAAGCTTCTCTCCGCCAGCAAGTCGCATTTCCAAATCCTCAATCGCACGAATCTTCTTCTGAAGGCTGCGGATCTTTTTGGCGTTGGCACTTTGGCCGGCATCGGCCGCAGCACCAGCAACAGCTGCGCCGCCTTGCTGCTGGGCAGAGTAATTGTTCTGCTGGCCAGGGCTTAAACGCTGACCATGCTGGGTATTGCTGCGACTGCGGCTGCCCCCATTGTTTCGGGATCGGCTTCTATGATCTCGACCATTGCTATTAGCAGGGCCACGTCTTTCAGGGCTTCTACCAGAGCCAGGGGCACGGTTGTCGTAAGGAGCAAGGCTAGCACCGCCATTGGGCTCCGCCTCAGGCCGGCCGTCCTGGTTATTCTTCTTGCCACGCTTCTTCTTGTTCTTCTTGGCGCCGTCTTCGCCTACTGGCTCAGCTCCAGGCACAATCCTCGCCGCGGGTTGCGACGGTTCGGCTGGCTCAGCACCGGGGACTCCACGGCGAGGACGACCGAAGCCGTTGGGACCAACGTTCTGCGTTCCGTTGCTCACAAAGTGGGCCGCACCACCCTCGTCTTCACGCTTGAAGTGAAGAGGCGTGGCAAGACCTCTGGCGCCGGGGGGCCTATAAGCCCCAGCAGGTTTGCTGGGCGTCTTCACAGTACCAAGGTAAGCAGCAGCAGAGGCATGGGGGGGCGGCACAGGGTTGAGCGGATCACCGCCGGCCACATTCTCAGGAGCCGAAGGACGCCACAAAACGTTGTACAACTCGACCATATCTTCGTTATACATGATGCTACCACCCACGTGCCAAAGCTTCACGCCATTGTCGACACGGAGACGCGGGGATGTTGTGGCCGTCATGATGTAGCGGCTGTCAGGGCTCCATTCGCACACGCTGGGATTGCCGCTTTCAATAGTGCAGACCTTGCGGTAGTCCTTTTCCAGATCATACACGTCGATCTGACCAGCCAAGTTGCCAAAGCCAGCAACGAGGACAAAGCGAGCATTCGGGGAAAAAGTGATGGTGTTGCGTGGGCCGAGAGGGAAAGAGTACTTGGCGACAGCTCGGTCATTGAAGATGGTAGCCTTGGCCGGCATGTAGCCATAGACTACACCGAACTCACGGGAGTTTGGCGACCAAGACACATCGTGAATAGGGCCTTCTTTGTCGAGGGTCACGCGAGCATCAAAGGCGCCGTTGGTGCTGAGCAAATACAGAGTAGTCTCCCCATAGTAGCTCTTGCCAGATCTGTCGACATCCGTCTGAGCCAGGACAAGCAGAGAGGAGCCACGCTTATTCCACTTGAATTGGACTTTGTCGCCCTTGAAGAAGGTCTTTTGCGAGATGGGGTTCTGGAAGAGCGGGACGTTGTAGACCTTGACGACAGCGGGTTGGCCCTAGAAAAAGCAAGTCAGCAAGAATGTCCCGACAGGAACCGATGCTAACCACACTTTGTGACAGTAAAGCTTACCTTTCTCTCGGGAACAAAGACGGCCACGGCGTGGTTCTGGCTTCCCGGTGCAAGAGCGAAATTAGCGGCCCCTTCCACCCTCAGCTTGTTCCAAACGGTGACGAGGTCGTGGCTCTGGTAGAATTGGACCTCATTCGTGACCAGTCGAGCACAGTACTTCTCATCGGCCGTGTACTGGAGGGTTCCCCCGCCTTGCTGCTTCTGAACAAAGCGTCCAATGGGTTGCTTGTCAGCTCCAGCCACGCCGTCCTCGACTGTCCGCCAGATCTTGAGGTTCTTGGTGGCGTCACCAGCCTCATCCTTGCCTGGCCGCTCCCAGGTAATGACAAAGGTACCTAGAGGGGAGAACCCAAGTTCGTAGACGTTGATGATGGGTAAGACCAGAACGACACTACCAGTCGAGGCATCGACAACAGTCACGGTTTCAGGAGAGGCCCAGCCAAAGAAGCGGCCGCAGGGCGAGTATGCGCTGCACCGCAGATTCCCCTCGGGCTTGGTGAACCCAGCGAGAGGCTCGTAGACCGGGGCGGCGTCAAAGACACCAATGGCCTTCTGGGTCCGATATGCGAACTGCAAGGGAGATGCCATGGCTAGTCAAAGTCACAGAATCTCAAACGTGATTGCGTTTTGCAGTAGACGTGGGGTAGCTTGTAGAGTTGTTCTGTTGCAAACGTTCTCGCAATTGCGTGCAGGGATTTTCGCTTGACTTCGGTCCTGCTTTTCTCTTGTTTTCTTTTTCCGTGCCGTTGGTTGCCACTCGCAAAGATAGGCAGGCAGGCTCGTCACGATTCGCAAGCCGACAGAGCGTATCGGTAAACAAGATCGACGACAGCGTCTATATTGTTCTCGATAGGGTTCGAAGCGAAATGCAGGGTTCCCACGAGCTCAACACAAAGGCCGATGCTGATGCTAATGGGGCACGATGGGGAGCTTCTTATGGAAAGTCTTCTTTGTCGCTTGGCGGTATGAGCGGCGTCACAGACAACCGGGCCCCTAATCGCTTCTGAGATAGCGAGGCCGACAAAGCAAAGCCTGAAGTCAGTTCAAGCAGACTTGACACTCTGTTGAATTCGTCCGCTTGCCAAGGGAGACGGGCGATGAGCAATGGGCTGAGGGCGACGCAAAGGGCGGTCTATCAAGGGAAGACAGCGACTCGGTCTGGGATTGGCGGCGACAGTAGGCAAAGGCCAAGAAGATTTTCTACACGTCGAGAAGAAGAAGACTAGAAGAACAGGCTGCAGCGAGAATGGCGTACAAGGAACAAAGGGCGAGCACCAAGAGGGGGGAGGACGGGAATTGGCGACGTCGGCGGCGATGCCGTTGTGCTGTCGGGCTGGGACGGGGGAGAAAGAGAAGCAGAACAAGGGCAGGCGAAAATGCGGGCACTGGTTTTTTGGTCGGTTGTCCTCTTTTTTTTTTTTTTTTTTTTGGTCAACTCAAGCCTGGTAGAAGAAGAAGACTAGAAGAACAGGCTGCAGCGAGAATGGCGTACAAGGAACAAAGGGCGAGCACCAAGAGGGGGGAGGACGGGAATTGGCGACGTCGGCGGCGATGCCGTTGTGCTGTCGGGCTGGGACGGGGGAGAAAGAGAAGCAGAACAAGGGCAGGCGAAAATGCGGGCACTGGTTTTTTGGTCGGTTGTCCTCTTTTTTTTTTTTTTTTTTTTGGGTCAACTCAAGTCTGGTCTGGTGCTAGTTGTCAGTCTCAGCGCAGCTCATGTGCCACTGGAGCCGCCTTGCCTCATTGACTGCATGTGGCCCAGTTGCACCAGAAATGCAGCAGAATCAGTTACATTGAAGCCTGTCAAGGCACCAGACTCCGTACATGGTCTGTCTGGTCATGCCTAGCCGGCAACGAAGAGTCAAGTCTAGTGCACTTGACCTAGATCAATTGCTATCAATGAGTGCCGTGCCAGTCCAATTGCAGA